CTGATCCTCTAGTTTGATCTAGGTACTCAAAGGTTTCATTGTAAAAGGTTCACTTTTTCAAAAAAGAAAAAAAACTCTTGAAATTGCTGGCCATGGGCCTGAGTGAGATATTAGAGTTAATTGATAGAAACATCCCCAGGCATCCCCTGGTTGGTTGTGAGAGTCCATTCACAAGAGATGAGGCATTGTATTGGATTGATAGTAATATGTTCAATAGCTGCAACAGAATTGTTGCTTTCCATGGACATCTTATTTGTGAAGGGTAAGATGAGAAATTTCTTGATTGTCGATTTATGAACATATTTTTTATTTTCCAGCTATTTAATGGGCGAGGAAGGGTACTGTCTGACATCACTTCAGACAGCTCTGGGGTATGTGGCCTCTCTGTCCATGACACCACTGGAATAGACTCCGTGACCTTCAAGGTCACTTCTGCTCTCTGTCTTGGTACATGGATTGTATCGGAACTGTGCCAACTTAACAATTACAAATGATGTAATTCATGAACAATGGGATGGATTTTTACCGAAACGTGTACCAGAAGAATCAGTCTTCATGTTTGGTTTCGAGTAGAGTGCAATAAAAAAGTCTACTTAATGGTATGTACTTTTACAGCTGACATTTAGATTGGTTTCTTTGTTGTTGTGGTATCTCATACTGATAAATGTACAGTAGTCCAGGATGTTCTTGAGTTGGTCAGCATCTCATTTTCGTTTTGTATACATATGTTACTTCACACTCAAGAGATGTTGCACATAGCATAATGGGAGGAATGTGCACTATTTTTATTTAACTTAATTTATTGATTAGATAGATTATACACCTTCTTTCATTTTACTTAATTTTTAATTACTTTTGTAGATAGATAATATATGTGTTAGTTTTACATTTTACAAAGTAAAAAATTTGCCAAATGGAATCGAACTTTCATATATATATATATATATATATATATATATATATATATATATATATATATATATATATCATAGGACATCAGTTGGAAAATATGCTTTATGTTGCTAGCATCTTCAATTGCAGAATGGTGCAGTTTGATTCTACCAGCAAATCCAAAATTTATATGTATATTTTGATCAATTATAATTGTAGCCATACAAAAAAGGTGCTTTGTAAATAAGAGTTGCAGACTTCGATTGTGAGGTTCCCCATCGAAATGAAAACTGCTGAAATGACACAGTATGATTCTACCAGCTTTGCAGTAAGCCACAACAAATAAAATATTTATGTAAAATATGATTTATTCCTCAGAAACAAACTTTCCCTTGGTGCATGATACTAAACTGAGAAGTAGAAATAAAAAGCTTCAAGGTTACTTTTCCCAGTACCTTCTGAGTCTTAAAGTTGACTTTTACATGATAATATTTGATGTAAGTATCTGCATTGAAATGTTACTGTACACATATATTTATTTAAAAATTATTCAAGCTGCCCTAATTCACTCTCCACCCCCGTATACATATATGCTATATTTTGAAATTTCCAACTTGTAACAAGCAGCTCAAATTGCAATCAATATTCAACGATGTAATGGAGTATTTACAAATATGTATATAATGTATCATATAAATTTATATTCATATGTATAAAATGTAAGAATTTATGTGTGAAGTCTATGTGTGTCTATATTCAGAGATATATAAATTTGGAATCTTAATAAAATATTATTGCTCTCAAAACATGAACCCAGTCTGTGTTGAAGATTTCATGATTTGGGGTTAAAATCTAAAAATTTGTTATTATAAGACCACAACTGGATCTGTTTAAAACTGAAAAACAAAATGTTCTGGTGCACAAAATCTTAAACACACACTTTTCTTAAAAGTTAAAACACTTTCAAAATACTAGTATCACATAAAAAGAATCCCAAGTGTCTTTCCACTCTGCTGCAAACTGACTTTTCATGGAAAATTGTAATATATAGCCCTGAAATTTGGTATCCAAAGGATCGACACAAAGAACCTTTCAATCTCCACATACAGTGAAGGGTTTCATCTCTGTGTTCAACATGTCAAGTTCTATATTGTGCAATATATAAATCCTCAAAATAAGGACATTAACTCCTTCCATAAAAAATATGCCATGCTCATTTATCTTTATAATGCAAATCCAAGCTGAAATGAGAATGCAAAATAAAATGTCACTTTCCTCTCTATTAGTCTAACCAGATCACTTATGTCTATAGCTGAGAAGCGCTTGCTTCGCGCATGGCTGAAACACGATCATGCAGAGCATTCAGCTCTTCTGCAATCTCATCAGGAAGATCATCATTGACTTGCTCATAGTAATATTTACGAATGGCCTCCACTTCATCTAGCCAAAACTCTCGCGGGATGTTAAACAGGGCATCCAAATCGACTTTATCTTTCAAGCCTTCAAGGTTTAGAGAGTTATCTTTTGGCACCAGACCTATAGGCGTTTCCATGGTGCAGTCCTCTCCATCCAGACGGCGGAAGATCCAGTCCAAAACACGGGTATTTTCACCAAATCCTGGCCAGAGGAACTTGCCATCCTGTCCCTTACGGAACCAGTTAACGTGGTAGATCTTTGGGATATGTACACCAGGTTTCTGCTCCATACTGAGCCAGTGTTTCAGATAATGGCCGAAGTTGTAGCCAAAGAATGGACGCATGGCAAAAGGATCATGCATCAGGACCTTGGCTGGAAGCAAAAATTTAAATTATTACGTTTTAGTATTTTAATTAATTTTTTTTACTTGAAATATTTAATATGATGTTCAGTTCAATCTGGATGTGCAATCAGAAAAATCAGCGCATTTTTTTTTATCTTAACTGTGACTGGAATTCTATTTTATTGGCTGAAAATAATTTTCTCTCTTGCATTCCTAAAACTTAATTTAATGTTCTACGCTACTCTTTAATAAAAAACAAACTTCCACAAAAAACTCAAATGCATCTAATGCTTCCCTATTTGTTTATGGCATATTCAGCTCCACATACAATTAAACCATGACATCCAAAGATGACAAAACTTAATTTAAATTCACCTTTGTGTTCAGCAGCGGCTGTGGCCTCTGATCTCATGGCACTGCCCACAAATACTCCATGGCGCCAGCTGAAGGTCTCGTACACAAGGGGAACTCCTTCTGGTCTCCTGCCACCAAAGATTATTGCTTCGATTGGTACACCCTCTGAAGACTCCCAGTTGGGGTCTATGATGGGACATTGGGAGGCAGGGGTGCAGAACCTGGAAGTAGATTTATTGGAATATGTCAGTTTAACAGAAAGATATAAAATTGGAAATATTTGAATTGCAACTGGTTGAATTTCTTCAATATGTTGGAGTTTAACTTGTGTTTGAATTCCTGTAAATCTCAACAACTGTTATTAGTTGATTTAAACTGAACTTATTTAAGATTATCAGTTCCTATATTTTTCATAACTGTCACAAAGAGAGTTGGGTTCCCCGTTTGTTGCAATAAACTGTAAATGGGAAAAATGAAGGTTGTGTTATGTGTGTCAATGAGCAATCTCAACATTGTGTTAGGTGTGCCCATGAACACAATCTTACCTGGAGTTGGGGTGTGCTGCAGGTTTCCCACTGTCCTTTGTCCAGTTCTCCTGGCCTAGCCAGGAGGTGATGGTGACTCCCTCTGCTGGATCCTCGTTGATGTCCTCCCACCAGACACCACCATCACTGGTCTCTGCAACGTTGGTGAAGATTGTGTTCTTCCTGATGGTTGCCATAGCATTGGGGTTGGTTTTATTGGATGTTCCTGAAACGGGCATCCAAAGATTTTTGTCATTAATTTATTACTTCTTAATATAAAAGTTCAAAAAGATGAAAATCAAAACAGAAATGCTACTAAATAACATAAATACTCAAGATATTTTGATGACAAAATAGAATTGGTAAACCCATTAAGATGACGAAAGCTCTCTTTTTTTTTGTTGTTAAAAACTACATAAATTCCTTCTTGTTTTAAAATATTAATTTTTTGTATGAAAACATATACAAAAAAAAAAAAAAAAAAAAAAAAATTCTACACAAACTACTTGCATAGACATATGACTTAAAACAATTATAGGCTTATAAATCTTACAATCACACGTACCTTGGATGACACATATCATTTAGGCTTGAAAGACAACTTGACAAAAATAAATCAATTATCAATATCTTACCGGGCGCCACACCAAAGAAGCCAGCCTCTGGGTTGATAGCACGCAGCTGCCCCCGGTCATCAAATCTCATCCAGGCGATGTCGTCACCCACGCACTCGATCTTGTACCCCGGGAGTGTAGGGTTCATCATGGCCAGGTTGGTTTTACCACATGCACTGGGGAATGCTGCTGCAATGTATTTCTTCTTCCCAGCAGGGTTGGTGATGCCAAGAATCTGATTGGGGATAAAAATGTTGAATGAATGAAATATCATTTAAAATAATCATGCACCTTTATGTTATACTGAAATATAAACAAATGATGCTCATAACAAAAAATATTAAGGGAACGTTTTCAATTCCTAACATGTGCATAAGAAATTACATTGCTTAGAAAAAACACAAATATGATGGAATACCTGCTAATTAAGCTTCTTTATCAATCGAATACGTTTTTCATACAAATATTTAATTTTATCAGGAATGTGAAATATTAGATTCTGTGTGTTTACATGTGCTCAAATCTTATACAAAATCTTCTGAATACCCAATTGCATTAAAAAACTTTTGCTTTATTACATACAAAAACATAATAAATAAATAAATAAATAAATAGATAAATCTCGCCACTGACCAGCATGTGTTCTGCCAGCCAGCCCTCATCCCGAGCTATAATGCTGCCCAATCTCAAGGCGAAACATTTCTTCCCCAGGAGAGAGTTGCCGCCATAGCCGCTGCCGTAGGAGATGATCTCGTTATTATCTGGGAGATGAGAGACCAGTACCTTCTCAGGGTGGCATGGCCAGTTATTCTTCAGAGGTCCTGAATATGACAGTACGTCAGTTATAGAAATGTATGCACTCTATGTACTTGACAATTTCAAAATGAAATATCAGACAAAGAATGTTCCAATTAGACATAAACTTGAAAGAGTTTATTAATTTGAAATGCGTATGTATTTTTGAATCCAAAAGATCAATTATGAACTATCATTAATCTTGTCACGTACATTTATGTCTGACTTAATAAGTACTTTGAGATGAAATTATTATTGATTACATAACCAACTGGAAGCATTTATACTAAATGGCTTTTGTGATGTTAGAAAATAATTGATATTAAAACAGAAATGATAATCTACTGAAATAGTTGCCAAAGTAAAATAGAGTTTAATCTAATAAAGTAAGTAAAAATGTTTTCCTTACTGGTAAGAGGCAGAGGAGCACCAATGGAGTGTAAACATTTGACAAAATCTGCGTTGCCGAGGGTGTCTATCACAGCTGTGCCTATGCGTGTCATGATGCGCATGCTCGCAACAACATACGGTGAGTCTGTCAACTGTATGCCAATCTTAGACAAGGGAGACCCAACTGGGCCCATACTGAATGGAATCACATACATTGTGCGGCCTGAAATATCAAATAAATATATTTATGTATTCATAACTAAGTAACAAAATTAACAAGCTTACTGACAACTGTAAATTTGCATGATGAAAAACATTAATGAAGAGGATAAACTCAAAACACACACACACACACAAAAAAAAAAAACAATAATTAATGAATAATATACATGTAGTACCTTTCATACAGCCTGGAAATCTCTCCCCTAGCGCCCTCTGTAGGTCATCCGGTGACATCCACTGACCTAGCTGACCCTTGACGCCCTCAGCTGTCGTGGGAATGGTGTCTCTGCGGTTGGTGGTTGAGATCACAGTCTTGCTCTCCACCCTCGCCACATCTGCTGGATCTGTGCAAGCCAACCAGCTGGAGAGAAATAACGCTTAATGTCCATATATTTAGGAATGGATTTCAGTAATCATGCATATAAGTTTATAAGTTATATAATTTATGCAAAGGGAAAGTAAGAAAAAATTAGTATCATTAATTAAGCTGTCATAACAGAACTGAAAAACTGGTCAACTTTTGCAATTGCTTAACTGAAATGAATTTATTTGATTACGCTGGGATCATTTAAAGAATCTGTGCAACACACATTTTGGTGGGGGTATAAAACCTTCCATTTCCACTCACCAGTTTTCATACTTCTTCAGGGGTTTGATCATCCCATCTTTTTGTAAAATGTCTAAAAGTTTCTTATTCTCTTCTTCACTTCCATCACAGATATGAATATTTGATGGCTGACAAATCTTTGACTTTTCTGTGATATACTCTGTTACATGCTGGGGCAGTCTACTGAGATCTCCCTGAACTACTGACAAAGTTCTCACTGATTTTAAATTTGTCGTTGCTGTGAAGCCATTGAGAGGTTTTTGTCCAATTCCTGAAGAAATCTGTTTCAAGATCCCTACAGAGGATCTGAAAAAAAGAAATAAGGACACCTTGAATAAAAAATCATTCAAATATAAATGAATTGTAATAAGTTAAACTTTGGTAATTTTTTATCCATTTAACGAAAACAGGTTTTATATTCTGGATCAGTACAAAAGGTTAAAGCGAAATCTGTTTCTGCACATGGTGTTGTAGTACAACCAGGGCATCATGCTAAAAAGATCTAAAATATCACCAGTTATTTAACGTACAAATGAGAAATTGGTCAAAATAATTTTATTCACCAAAAGAAATTCTGAAATAAAAATGTAACCTATCAACATCTTAATCCAATATTCCATTATTTTTCTAAGCAGCTATTCACTGTCAAGGCTCTCGATTAGAAAATAAACGATGTCAAAACTGGTATAGAAAATGTCAAAATTTGTATAATAAGAATAACACCAAATTATAAAAATAAAGTTTTGTTTTTTCATCGCCACTTAGTATTCTTGAATAATAATAACAGTAATAATTTTAAAAAAATCCCAGTAACTAACTCGTTATCTGCACAATCGTCACACATGCTATGTCAACTCCATTGGACACCACACAACCGCAGCTGTCTGGAGGTGTGGCGGCCTACAAACGATCTAATTGGCTGAGAGCAGACAATCGTGACAATGACGCCTCACAAACATGTGACCTTTTCACCTATGACGTCACGCATTGTTTACGCGCATATGTGGTCAGAGGTATACCTAAAATATCGATTTCCTTTGTAAGGTAGAAGTGACCCTTTCTTCCAGAATTAATATGTTTACAGGTTACTAATATACACAGACCACACGAGTCAACATTTTCCAGTTCAACATGTACTCAATTACCGCCGGATCGTAGGTGCATTTGATTATGATCAGCTGTTTTCAGGATTCGCGTCCGCCGACAACTCTCTGTGCAAATCTGCAGGCCAATATATTAAGAAGATCGGTCTCGTCATAGCAAAGACCAAACACATACATTATAAATAAGTGCTGCGCGTTCATAAAATATTAATTTAATACACATTCATACACGCCAGGCGTTATTGTATAACTCTATTTAGCTCTTACGATTCTAATTAACACAGATGCACGCGGAAGTCAATATTGTCATCTCACTGAAGTTATTTTCCCGCTCGTTGCCTCTCTTCGTGAGGACACTGATAATTGACTGCTACAGAGCATGACAAATAGCTTGTAGAGTTGAATGAAAATTAGTACCTGAGGCCCGATGTTTCTATCTCCTGACTTGTAGCGTGAATTTATGATAAGGACTTTACGCTATGGATGAAGGCGCTTTTAAAACGCACCGCACCCTTGAGTCGCATATGAAAAGTCGGCGTTTATAGCTTTAAGTCACCGTAATATAGAGTCACAACTACAATATATTGAAAGAGTATGGAATATTTCAGCGAAGTTTCATCTCCAAACGGATTTGTGATTGTTCCAGCCTTAAGAAGATCAATTTTCTAATGAAACCGGATTTGAATTCCCCATGCAATCATTCGGTAATTTTAATTTTCTCTATATTTGAGCCGACCTCTGATATTTAAGCTTTGTGCTCGTAAAAGTTGATATGTCAGCTCGACAGATTTGTTCGTTACAAAACGGATCTTTGGCCATATCGTGCCACGCCCTTGATACGACGAGCCGCGCAATATCTGTGCCGGTGACCGAATGAATGAACGAACCAAGAGAATCACTGCAGTTTACTTACATCTTCTCCGGTGGTGCTGGCGGCATTTTGGTCCGGTTATGTGATTCAAAACGATATCACAACACTCTAAAGGAATAATAGTAAGATTTTTACTGTCTTGATGGTCCCTCCAGGTTTTTTCTCAAGGTTACACAGCGAACGAAGAATATTTGTCGCTGATGCAAGTTCAACAATTTATACAGCCGCGCATGGGCTGTTGGAGGTGTGACGCAAATGGAGGAATTTGATTGGTTTGGGCGGTGGAGGTGTGTGGGTAAGAAGCAATTTTATTGGTCAAGGAGTGACCTTGATGAATAATGTAGCGACCCTCAAGGAGAAACGAATGACACTGCACAACAACAAACCTTGACGTAAAATTTTCAACATACTCAATTCTGGCCCAAATAAACCGGTTAATGCGTAAATCATTTATAGCAACTGGATTTGATAAACATGCACGGAATTCACGTTTCTGGAACAGCTTGCTGAAAATAAACTGTAAACAAACCAAACCTCGTCCCTAGCTTACCGGGGTGATTTTAGCTGGCCAGGTTGGATACCAACAAAACATACAAAGCGGTGAAACTGACCTTTGGACCACAGCAATAAACCTGGCCATTAGCAGTGTGTGTATTTCCCCTAAATGACAAGGTTTATTGTTACACTGTTATGTAACTGGCCTTTGAGCGCACCTGAACTCCAGGGTGAACAATTCATGCTTGGTAATTAACGCGTATAACGAGGGGGGGGGGGGGGGGAGCTTTAAGATTAGGATTACAGGTAGGCCTACTTATGTATGGTGAAAGTTAAAACGGTGTTTGTTATAACCTCTACCAGGCTGCAGAGGTATTTGTTTACTAGAAATTCACAGGTATTTCCCTGGATTCTTCTGTACACATTTTTTTACTGTTCAGCAAGAAATTTTGAAAATTAATAAACAAAATTGATGTTATTATCTCCCAAATGGCTCCTGGTAGAAAGTATATGGCATCGATGAAGAGAGAGAGAGAGAGAGAGAGAGAGAGAGAGAGAGAGAGAGAGAAGGGGGTGAAAGATATTTTATTCAGCATTTGAAGATGATTATCGAGCATGCATTGTCCTTATGCAGTTTTAAGTGTTGATACAAGCCAATACCTGTAAATTTAGCCACCTGTTTATAACAGCAGGTTATAACCAAGTACTGTGATATATTTCATTATTTAATATCCTCATTCAAGGCAAAATTCAACTATAAGATTTTATTCATTCTCCTCCCCCTGCCTCCTTGAAATAATTTTTATATCTATTTTGATAGAAAGGATACATGATTATATGACTTAATGTAAACTTCAGCCTGTACTTTCAGTGGACCTCATCACCACTGTTAATGCCTGTTCACCTAGTAACATTTAGTAACCACGCTGATAACATAAACCATGGCATCCCAAACTGCTGTTGATACTATAGTTAACTTGCATGTTCAAATATCAGAGTACACAGTGTTTTTAAAATAATTAATATGCCTCATGTATTAAAAAATCTGCCAGGTCTAGGCTATTTATTCTTTTTGCATTGTAAATCAAAGCCCTGCCCAAAATTTGTGCATGTATACCAACTGACCCCCGTCTCCTAACCCCCCCCCCCCCCTCCGACAAACACCTTTCAAGTACCCACCAGTAAAATTTACCATTGCAATTTAACCTGAAAAAACTTATATTTTGAAAGTACACAGTGGATAAGTGTTGAAACCATGTTTTTAGTAAATAGATTGATTTTGTAAGGTCAAATTAGCGGCTTTGTAGGACAAGGTTGTCTCTAGGACGTGGACTTTGGACTCTGGAAGAAGAGCAAACAGCTAGTGCATGCATGCTGGTCCAGGTGAATATCATCTGCATAATATAGCCCTGCAGATGATATACATGGGTAGTTTTAACAGGGACGGGTATTTATTGGTTTAATTTATATATCACAAAATATATGATATTATTTTAATACACTTTTTATTTTTCTATTTTTGTTTCATTTGTATTAATTTCTCATTTTATCAATTATGACAATTACTAGTATTTACATAGTCTCATGTAGAAATGTTAGTGTTCAAAATGACATTTAACAGTTTAAACTGGTTATTAAGTGGTAGTCAAAAATTGTGAAAAAATATATTGGGACAATATATATTAACAGGCAGGGTAAGCTTTAAGTTTTTGTCTCCATTTTTTTCACATTTTCCCCACGTCTTTGACAAATTAAGTGCATGAATCTGTGTGTGTGTGTGTGTGTGTGTGTGTGCGTGCATGCAATATGCATGTATGTCCACATACGTGAGTGTGTATATGTGTGTGTGTGCAAGTGTAAGTGCTTGATGTATGAACATGCGTATAAATCCCAAAATTTTGCTACAGATTTCAGCTAGAGCCTGAGGCCAGTAATACAGGTGCATGCAAAACACCCACATTAGATTGTATAACACACCAGCAAGAATGAGAATTATTCACTGGAAGTCTTTAATTATCTTCAACAGATCCCTGGCAATCGTGTAATATTTCATAATATTACATCTTACATGTTTATTACATATGCCACTATCATCTACCATTGCACTATATATCATAGGCCCTAGGTTATATTTCACATGCCATTTCAGACCCATAGTCCCTTACTAATAATTCACTGGTCGTTTATTAGATCCTGATATCCTATATGTAGATCATATTTCACAAGCCCAGAGAATTTTGAATATAGCCTTTATTTCAGTTTGGCCTCTTAATCAGTGTCTTAATTATAGTTTCTTCAATATGCCCTTAGGTAAGACAGTATGGGGTTATAATAAATTAAAATGATAACTTACAAGTTTTATGAATCCCCCACCCACCCACCAAATTATAATGATAAATAAAGAAAAAGCTGGAATTTTAATGAAATCATACCTTAACACAATGGGAATTTAAATAGAATTTTACCAGGTGCACAGTTTATTTCAGTTTGGATAAAGTTTGCAGGCTTTTAAACCCCCCCCCCCCCCCGCCATCCATATCCTTCACTCTCTGTCCCCTATAGTTGCCATTATGGGGAGTGACATAACAGATTAAATGATGTTACAGTAATTATCACATTGCAATACAAAAAATGTCTCACTGAACTGCAAATGTGCCTTATAAGACTTTTTAATTTCACTTTTTCAAGAAGCCTTGCAGTCTCTCTATTAACAGTGTATATACATGTATATTATTAATCGCGCTATATGTATGCAGAGGTTCTCCACTTTTCTCTCTATTGAGCCTTAGTTCATAAAAATAAATAAATAAAATAAGTGAAGTGCAGCATTTTAGCAATATCAAAAGCATGTCCTTTTATCTGCATCATAAAAAGAAACTTTTACATAGTAATAATGAATTCCAATCACACTGTCCCATTGGGTCACTGTGTTAAATTACCAGTAACAGCAGGTATATTGTTCCTCATATGGTATAAAAAAGGTAAAAATAAAATCAGGAAATGACACATGTTCAGGCAAATTAAGCTATTATAAATTAAAAGTAGTCTACTGATTAAAATACCTTGTGAATTAGTTCAGGAAATGATTTGTTAAGGGCAATTAAGCTGTTAAATTACAAGCAGTCCCCTGTGCATTTGCCAAGAGATATCTCATCATCCATTATATCTGCAGGGTGGGTGGCAGGGGAACACAGCATTAACAGCTGTCTGTCTGTCTGGATGGTGGGGGGGGGGGGGGGGGGGGGGGGGGGGGGGAGGGGGTTAAAAGCCTGCAAACTTTATCCAAACTGAAATAAACTGTGCACCTGGTAAAATTCTATT